ACCACAGGGAGAAGTGGCCCGCAAGCCAACATGGTTACTATTGGGCTCTGTACCCGGCCACCCTGGCTAGGCCTGCAATGCCACAAACTTCCTGGTGACGGCCTGGGCTCGTCCCGGGCACCCTGAGGAGTAGATCACAGCTGGCCTTGAGAGGCCAAGATCGAGTGGAGAAGCAGAGGCTGAACACCCAGTCCTCTGTGTTCCTAGAAATACCGACCCCTTTGGGGAACCCCGGTCTGCAGAGAGCCCCCAGTTAGCAGTAATGTGGCCTCTGCCAGGGCGACAAGCCATCCACGAGTCTGCTGAGGGCACAGTTCTGTAGGAGAACGAGCTGGTGGGCCTGGGCTGGCTCTCAGTCCAGGTGCCACCTTGCACCTGCTCTGACTGGCTCTTTTCAAACAGGCATGGGGAGATCTGGTCACGACAGGCTAACGTCCCTGGGCCAGCTCTCCTACAGTCCATGGGTCACCTGCCCCCTGTGTATAGCTGCGTCCCCTTTTCCTTCAGTAGATTGCTTTATTGTTGCACTGTGAGCGTTTTATTGTGGGTACTGCATGCAATCTGCTCTCTCCCTCTCCCTACTCTTCCCACCTCACCTGGCTGGAAGGCGCCTCCTCCCCTGGGTGGGCCAAGTCTCCCTGGATGCTGTCTTGGTGGAGACTTCTGCCGGGCAGGGCAAACCCAGCCACATTCTGCATCGGGATACCTGTCCACCTCATCTCCTCACCTGTTCAACAAACTCCCTCCCTCCCTCGTGTCCCCATCAACCAATATGCTCTGATATTGTTCATCTTTAAACAAACAACCTAAAACTCCCTTGACCCTAACTTTGATGCTCAGCCCTGACCCTAGACCATGACCCCAATCTCGCTTCTAAGCGCTCAGCAAATTAAACAATTATGTTGTTTCCCTTTAGAGCAAATCTCCGAAGACGTCTCTCCTCGCTGTCCTTGCTTCGTTTCTTTCACTTTCTGTTGAACCCAGTCCAGCCAGACTTTTGTTCCCCCCTTTTCATTGAAACTGCTCTTGTCAAGATGGCTTTAGAGGTGATATCTGGTTCCCAATCCCAGTGGTGAAGTCACAGTTCGCATCACGCCCAGCCTGTCGCCTTAGTAGCAATGGACAGGGACAGAGCTCGTTACTTCTCGGCTCCTGGAACACTCTCGTGGCTTCTGGGCCTCCTTGTGTCTCAGGTTTCCTCCCTCCTCTCTGTCTTTTCTGCTGTGTTTCTATGTCATTTCACTGACCTCTGGAGGTTGGGGATCCCTAGTGCTCAGAGCTCCCTCTCTCCACTCTCAGGAGTTTGAATGCCACTCACCTGCCCTGACTCCCAAGTTTATATTACCAGCCTAGATGTCTCTGCTGAATTGTAATCACGTGTCCTTACAGCTCCAGAGAGCTCATGGGGGTGTCAGAATTTACATCATCAACCCTGAACACTTGCTTCTTCCCCAGTCACACAGCACACACTTTTCGACCTAAACAGCAAGGACAGAATTTATTCTTCCAGGTCCTCAAGCCAAAAGCTTAGAGCCATCCTTGACTCCACTCTCCTATCTAACATACCACATCCATCAGCAAATCTCACCAGATCTACATTTCAATGCACCCAGAATCTGACCCCTTCCAGATTCTACTATCCCAGACTCAAATCCGAGCCTCTCCATCTCTGTCTCCACTATACTACAAAAGCATCTTAACTGGTCTCCTGCTTCTTTGCACCCCCACCCCGCCACCTACTTCCAACACAGCCAGCCAGAACGGTGCCATTGTCAATAAATCAGATGCTGCTACTTCCCAGTTCAAAATCTCAGAGCAAAACCTAAAATCTTTACTAAGACCGGCAGGAAGTCTGGCCCTGGGTTCTTCCTGTCTTCACCCCAGTCTCTCCCTTCCCTATGCTCTGCTGGCCACCCTGCAGTTCACTAAACACCCAGGCCTTGCCTGACTTCCCCGGCTCTCTCTGTGAGGGTGCCCTCCCGCAGAATCCTCAGTGACCGTGTCAGGCTTCTGCGCTGATGACTGCTGATCAGAAGACTTTCCTTGGCCTGCCTATGGCCTAGCATAGGAACAACCCTGACCTACACTTCTGCTCCAACACTCACTACCTTCGTGACGACCTGCACTTTCTCACTGGACACACCACCCCCTGACACATTCTCTATGCATTTGTTTATCATCCATCTCTCCCTCTATAATGTTTCCAACATAAATTGGGCCCAGAAAAGGCACTCAGTAAGATCTGTTGCATTACTTAATGGAAAGGTGGATGGCCTCAACTTGGCAACTAAGTTATACCTTGGGCTCTTGGGGGTTAGGTTAGTAGTGGTCAGCCCCACCTCGTCCTAACAATTCTGCCCGTCCAGACTGAGCTTCTGGATCTGCAGGGCCCAAGGACGGACGCTGGGACACATCTTCCTCTCGAGGAGCTTCCACCCTGGGAAGCGATCACCTCCCTCACAGGAGCGCCATGTCCCTTGAAGTCTCCAAATCTCCAGTCCTTCTTGTTTGAAGAGCCTTGTGGCAAGTCCTTTTTGCAAAGCAAACAGTCCCTCTCGGATGGATCAATTTTTGTACATTACTTTTCTCAAAGCTGGCCACACGTGGGTGTACCCACAAAGAGTCCACCCTGTGTCGCCACCCTCCTCCCCCCTTTCCTGCCACAAGATAACACACTCAGTTAAAACAGCCTGACCCGCAGGCCCTCCCTGGCGGCGCAGCAGGTTAAAGCACAGCACTAGGAAGCTAAAGCCACTTCCACATGAGTTCGATCCCTGCCCTGGGGGTGATCCACATCAGCAGACCTCTCCTGGCCTGCTGCTCCCCTCAGCAGTGCACTTCACAGTCGGCCTGTTCTGCTCCCCGCTCTGTCTCTGGTGAAGCCGCTCACCACCCCTGAGCCTGTACGCACTTCTGTGCATCAATAAATAAATCTCAAAAAAAAAACCAAAAACCAAAAAACCGCCTGACCGGCAGACTATGGCCATTTGGGTGATTGTGTCCAGTCACAGCATAACCACCTGTACCGGAGAAGAAAATGCATTGTTTTATCAGCAGACTCCTCTCTGCCTGGCACGGATGTGACTTTCTTCTTTTACATGAGCCAAGCTTTTTCTCATTCCCAGACAATACTGTTCTTTTGTTTAAAAAAAAAAAAAAAGAAAAAGAAAAATCCAGCATCTTATGAAAACAGCAAGAATTTCCATGAGGAGCTGCCTGCTGGAGCCTGGCCAGCGTGACATTTGCAACATGCCTGCACCACTCAGAGGCCTGCAGTGACCTACCTGACTCATAATTTCTCTTCTGGGAAAGACTGCACTTCAGGTCTTAGAACAATCCAAGAGAGCATGAGATGCAAAAGAAGAAGGTGGGGGACAGCTGGAAATGGGGCTGGGGAGCCTACTCCAGGCCACACAGGCGGGTAAACTGAACTAAGTGGGTGGGAAGCGACCGAAGGGGGCCTGGCAGGCTGGCTGATACCAGCAGGACTTCTGTACCTTGCCAGAGGCAGGGCGCAGGTGTTCTGGTTTAGAACAAGCCAATGAAAATAAGACACATTCCAGACCCAGCGGTGAAGTCGTTGAAGACGTTGTGGGGTTCGGTGGGCGGGGCTCTGGGCTTCCTCCGAGAAAGAGGACACGCGTCCTTCACTGGACATGGCAAACTTCTTTGAAGAAGACACTTGGATGCAGGCAGGCAGCCGTCTTAAAGAGCGGGGGCCGTGGGTCTTTGGTGGAGTTTATTACTTTGTGAAATTTTATTACTTTGTGCAAATGATCACTTTGGGATTAGGCTGGGCTGGTTTTCCTGTATTGGCTCATTAAGCCTCCATCCCCACTTCCAGTTTCTGGCCTTGTTTCTACTCTAAGCTTCCATCAAGCCCTTCCCCCCACACTTTCACAACACACACACACACACACACGCACATTCTACTAAAAGCCACCTGAGCATTTGTTGCGGGGAGTTCTGTCTTCTATCACTGCTTCAGGCCAGAGCAGGCCCCGTGCTGTGCCTCAGACCCTGTCTCTAATGCCGGCTCTAACCCGACTGGTGCTTAGTCCTTCCAGTTGGTCTGCAAGGAGTTGTAGAGGCCACGGGGTGGGGTACTGGGGCCAGTCGTTGCAGTGTAGTTGAAGCATCGTGATCTCTAAGTGAGAGGAGACACATTTAACAAGGAAACTGAGTATGCAAGGGCCCAAGGGAGAGAGAACTATGTCAGCGGGGGACCCCAGGACAGGAAAGACAGCCTTCATGGGAGGGTCCTGTGGTGCATCCCTCTCAGGGGGCATTCTCCTCTGAGTCTAGGAGGCATTCTAGAAGTTTCCTCAGATGGAACATTACCTGTCCTCTCTAGGTAACAATGACAACATTCCTGTCCTGACAAAGTCACCTCCCCTTGCGGCAGTCCTGACTACTATGAGGGGTTTCCTGGAATCAATCTGTTGGCCGGGGGGGGGGGGGGGTTGGGGTGGGGGGTAAGAGTAAGGGAAATTAAAGGAAGATGGAAGAATCGGTGTGGAAATCCAGTATAAGGCCTGGATAACCCCGCCTTCTTTTCTGAATTGATCTTCCTTGTGCCATGGATAATGGTTCTCTTTTGTGGTCTTTTGAAGACGTTGTCTTAGGTGGCAAGACCACACCATTCCTCCTGTTTGTCAAATAAGATAAGGAAGTTTTTGTTGTTGTTGTTGCAAAACAGAGGAAATCCTACAAAAAATGGGCTGTTAATTCTCCATATTATAAAGAGGAAGAAACCCCCCTTAGGCAGGAGAACAAGAGCCACGTATGGTTGTTAAATTTTCAGTGGGTAGCTGAGCAATTGGGGAGGTAATCAGTGCTGAAATTTAAAAAGTAACAGCTTGGACTTAATAGTGCAAACAGCCTGGGGTCACCCAATATCAGGGACTCCTGATAGTTACCAGTTTGATTCCCCTTACCTGTACTTGAGTAGGTTATTTCCATCTTTTTTGATACAGAACTAATCTTAGGTGAAAGCGCTTCATAAACTCTAAAGGAATATTATGCAGCCATCAAAAAGATAAATGCGTGCTACTTGCAGAAAAATGGATGGAGCTGGAAGGGATCATGCTTAGTGAAGTAAGCCAGAGAGAAAAAGAAAAATACTGGATGGTTTCACTCATAGCAGGAGCGTAAGGGATCGGGGTGGGGGGGAAGCAATTGTAATAAAGTAAAAAATGAACATCAACTAATAACTATAAATACCACAGACATTCTATGGGGGAGGAGAGGGGAACAGGATCAAAACTGGGGTAGGAAGAGCGCACTGGACTATGGTGATGGCACACAGGGGAAGTGGTGGTGGGAAGTCCATGGGGATTACAACTGAGATGGAAAACATGTACAAAATGAAGAAGGATGTAGAATATATAATTAATTAATTCATTCATTAACAAAATTAAAATAAAATTAAAATCTGTATTTTGTTACCTAGCTGCCGTTCTCCAAATTCACAGCTCGTGTATTTGAATCATGAAACGCTCAGGTGAGAGCTGTTACTGACCTCAGCTTCTGGCCTTGAGTCTGGCACCAGGAGGTGCCGAATGTAAGGATCACTGCCCTCTGGCCATCCGCACTAGCTCAGGAGGTGTCCAGGAGGAATTCACAGGAAGAACTTAACTGGGGAGCAGATCTTGCCTATCTGCACTACACCTTTAAATCATCTGGGCAGTTTTGTTAAAATGCAGGCATGGGTGCATGTGGCTAGAGAATCTCCCCACGATGCCCAGGCAGCTGGCCCCAGGACACGGTTTGAGTATTAGCACTGCACTAGCGGACTGTAACCTCAGTGCTCTTTTCAATAATGCAACTTCGTAGGAGGTGAGTTTAAGGTCAACTGTCTGGTCCAGGGGCCGCACATGAAGCGTGGACTTCAGCTCAAAGCTTGCCAGATACAGGAATTCTGGCTCCTTCCCCAGGTTGACCAAGTCAGAAACGCTGTTGTGGACCCAGCCATTTATGCTCAGTGAAACCAGTGGGCTTCTGCTGTCTGCTAGAGCTTTAGAACCGTGACTCCAGAATACAAATGTCACCCGGGGAGTTAAAAAAAAAAAAAAAAAAACCACAAAAACAGAACGTGGACCCCATTCAGAGAATCTAACTTACTCATGCTGGGGTTGGACTGAGGCACTGGGAATCTTCTAAGGTATCCATGGAGATTCAAATGTTGCGTTTCAGCAGCGAGAGCAGCTGGCTAGAACACAGTAGGATCCCGCTCACGGGAGTCAGCTGGAAAGCGTGTCGGGGCTGCCACGGGCTGCAGGTCTGGGTGGCCGTTTTCCTTTTGTCACAGGGCACCCCAGTGTGAACTGGGTTGCGGGTCTGTGGGTCCTCACCCACGTACTTAAAAGTCAGTGGTACTGCAGGGACACACAAAGGGTCAATAATGGGTTTATTTACAAAGGGGGAAGGGAAAGGAACAACCCAGGGAGAGAGAGAGAGAGACAAGTTAACTAGAACATCCTCCAGCTCCGCTGACTTGGACTCAATAACACACTGACAGCCACCAGCCACGTGGTCCCAAAAGACAGCACGTCTGAAATGGCTCCCTATATCTCCCCAAAGGTCCCAGAATGCCTGCTGAGCTCTGCCTTTGGGTCCTCACAAGTCTCTCTGGGTGTCACTGGGAGCTGTAGTTTATTGGAGTATGGGAGGAATCCACAGAACTCTGCAGAATTCCTTCAGGACATCATTTCCCCCTAACACTTTGACTATCCTTGGGAGTAGCTCTGGATCTTGGGGTGACACTACCCTCTCTACTCTTGTTGCTGATGACTTCTGGGGTCATGAAGTTGTCTAATACTCCCAGAAACATATGTGTATGTTGTAAGTGTATGTATGCTCGCCAGAAACTTAACAAGATATTTCAACAGTATTTTCATACTAACTTTATGATCAGAAATTTGGCCTGATTGGAAGCTGATCTTCAGAATCTGATAGGAATTTTTGCCTGGCTAACTTTGGCCACTCTAGAACCAGTCCATCGAGAGTACAAACTTTAGGGAAGTTTGAAACAGAAAGAAAAAGGGGAGGGCTAGAAGGATCTTTTCCCTTTTTAAGTAGCTGCTCCGTGGATCGCTGGCCCTTCCCAATGTGGGGTTGGCAAGACACACCGATATCTCCATGTCCCTCCTGGCCCTGATCCTGGGCCAGGGGCTACGGGAGGTGCTTGTGGACAGATCCAGCCATTCAACAGTCTAGGCTGTTTTGTACCTGATTCATGGATGGCTAAAGATTTTAAGAAAAAGCCGCGAGCTCATTCTGTCTGTCCTGTGTCTCAGCAAGAGTGTCGTTAGGTATATGAACATTTTATCTCCAGATGGTGTTGCCAGAATCTATCTTGGATTGAAATGATTAAAATGGAAGCATATAGAAAAAACTAACATTCTTAAACCTTTCAGATCTTTATAAAACCCTCTCCCTCCAGTCCCCCCCTCCCCACCCAAGTTCATATGATCTGGGGTAATTTTGTTGACTTCATTTAAATGAGCATGCCTTCAGAATTATCAGCCTTGGACGTGATACAGGCACATAACCTTATTCTGTCTGCTTATTTTTTAATCAAATAAGTTCATGTTATGTTATACAATCTGTCACCATAGAGAATAACTTACAATAATTTAGGCTGACTATTTTTATGAAGTCTTTGTAAATAGGATCAAGAAGGAAGTCCAAAACAGAGGCGTTTATGCTCAGCCTATGTCACTGAACCAAGACTTAATACTCAAATAAATCACATTTCAATATCTCCCAGGAATGTAACAGTAATCAGTTTGAAATTTCCCATTTAGGTAAGTCTGCCTGATAGATTCCAAAGAAACATATTTTCTGGAAGTAAAATATGGCTTAAATACATGTAAATGGATAAGAGCTTTTAGATGAATTTCTCTGCAATAATTGTAATAGTAGTTGTCTACTCAAATAGTTTCCTAAATATTTTTGGTAATTTGAAACTAAAATTTTGATAATTTAAAAGGTGACTTAAGGTAAATTGACTATCTAGATTATTTCCAAATAAGATAAACTACTAAACATTAAGGTTTATCTTTGGTTTATTATTACTGAGGAATTAATGGTAAACACATTTTGCAACATATTGAAAAATCATGCTGCAAGGATACATATGCTTCTAGAAATTATAAAATATATTCGTAAATCTTCCAATTTAAAGAATGCCTAGGTAACAGTTCACTGCTTGACTTTTTTAATTGCACTAGAAATTAAAGATCTTTCAAAGTTAACATAATTTAAAAGTTTAACTGAAATTACTAGAAATAATAAGAGAAACAACTCTCAATACAAAAAAAACCAGACTGTAATGTTAACAAAATGGAGGTGGGAGGTATGAGATGTACTTGGCTAAGAAAAAGGTTTTATTTGAGTAATCAACCAAGCTAAAATCAAATTGTTTTTATAAGGGTTTTCTAAATAAGGTCTAAGACTGCATCCTTATATGAAATTGAAGCTTGATGTATTTTCATCTCCTGAAAGGCATAAAGTGTTCTTAGATTATTGGTGTGTTTCTGATAAGGGGTTGTAAAAGATTTTTCTTTGCCTTTTAAGTAATCTACCTTAAAATGCCAAGATTTTGTGTCATCATTATCATCAGGTCTTTGATTACGTAAACTGGAAATTAAGTATTGCTCATGATGAGGTAAAACGTCTCTATAGGCCTTTAAAATCTTAAATTTTCACATTGGTGAAATGGATAATTAAGTATATTATTTCAAAATAATCTATGATCTAATTTAATGAAGTGTTTTATAGCTTTTTTTAAAATATATTTTTGACAAACTTCTCCAGGTCAAATTCTGAATGATTTCTTCTTGACTTAGTTACTGTGAGATATTCCCCCAGAGGACCCTGAAACTATATTCTCATAAGATTTATTCTCTGACTTTAGAAAGAGAGATATTAAACTAATTATACTTATTTGCTGAATTGCACAGGAAGCATTGTCAAATAAACCTAATAGTAAAATCTCTTAATTTGCATTGATATGAATATATATTATTAATAGAATGTTCTATACACTCTAGAACATCTAAATGCCCTGGTATAATATTATTGTTTATAACCTAGTTATTATAAGATTGCATATTGCTACAATAACCAAATTGCCTTGTTAATTATATTAATTGTGAACTTTCATCAGCTATTTGACTATGATCATTTTAATTTTTTTTTGTCACTTACAAAAGTTACTATTTATTCTGATGTCTTTACCAATGTGTTTTAGCTTCAGAGAAATGTATCAGAGAGTTTGTGACAAATACTGAAGGCTATAGGTTCATTTTAAAGCTAAAATGGATGAGACATTCAAGAACTTTTGGAAAAACTGTTTATAAAATGGCTAACAAAGATGAAGATTAAGAATTTCATGGGACTGAATGAATTAATGTGGAGGATTATAAGTTTCATTTTTGTTTAGAACGCTGGTTCTTTACTGTTTTGTTTTTTCCAGATTTAAGAAACCCTTTTCCTTTTTTAAGCTATGACCTACAGCCATGTGGTAAATTACACCTTTGTGAACAGACCTGAAATAATTGCTTTCCTCTCCATTTGATTCCTCTTGAATTGGGAAATTCTTAGGAAGTATTCTTATATTTATGGAAATGTACTTATTTGCATCAATTCAATAAGAATTTGTTCTTGCAACAGAATCCATTTGGAAAGATGATCATAGTGCCAAGATTTCACTGGAATGTCATGCTTGAGGGTGATGTCTATGGGCTGAAACTGTGTTCATAACTATTCTTGTTGCATGTATGCAAAATAAATAACACAAACAAAACAAAAAGCCCTGTTTTATGACTTCATTTGCAGCGAATCAGCTTTAGTGATTAAATTGTAGAAATAAAGGTGACAGTAGAAAGTTGTGTGTCGATAATACATATCTGTGACTATCAGATTCTAGTCCCCTTCATTATCTTTGAGGATTTTGTTTGCTACCTGGAAGCTTGACTAACTACTGAAGTCTAGTTTATCTGTCTAAAAACAGATAAAGATCTGTCTAAAAACTCTAAACTTACATTTCCAGTTTTGTTCCATCTTTATGAATAGAACTACAGAGCTAAAACTGACTTTTTTCTGAAGCCATGCAAGCGAGAATTACAGAAGCTGACACAGACCCCAGAGGCACGTGCAGAGAACGGTCAACACCTGCTGGATGAGCCTCCCAGAAGCATCATCAGTCACTCAAACTGTAACAGAACCTACCCGGTTGGTACTACCTGCCTTCCATCCAAGGTGCTATGTGCTGGACATCTAGAAATCTTCGAGTCCTCAGGTCTTCGGAACTGGGGCTGCGATCTACTCTAGTCATGCACCATCATCTTTCTTTGTTTCCACAGAAATGCCTCCCACCAAATGCCTGCTTGTTTGCTCCATGGACCTAAGCCCCTGTATCCCCATCTCCAGCAATGAGAGACAACCCCTGGCTCTGACTCTCCGGTCAGAGCGACTGCTTCAGCAAGACTTCCAGGGAGGTTTCAGAGGGGAATGAAGGGTAGGCTTTTGCAAAATGTATAGAACAGGCTGCCAAGATAGACCACTTAGGCCTGAGGATTATTTTGAATTGAGTTCAGCTGAGGCCCTACAGACGCAAACGAAATTCACTCTAACTACCTGAAAGAATGTAAATTGGAGACTTACCCAGAAATAAGCAGGCGAACGTCTAATCACAGAACATTTGCTTTTTACCCTGGGAGCTCCTCTTGTCTCCTCTAGGTGTATTGTATATATATCCATCACTGCCCAGACGCCAGGCCTATGAGTAAAACTGTTCTGGAACCTTCAGACCCGTTCTGTCTCTAGCTGAACACCATCAGGTGGTCCTGACTGATGCTAACTGGAGGAAACTCCACCCAGCTGAGCCCTGTGCTCACTCCTGATCTACCAAATCATAATAAATAATAAATGACCGCTGTTTACATCACCAACTTTAAGCTAGCTCATCATGGAACAATAGAAACCAGAATTTTGTGCAAACTATTATTCTTCTATGTGAAATTCTATGCAGCTTTGCACCAGAGTATTTGATAAATGGAGAAGATACATATAAATAAATGCACACACACATAACACGGGCTTGTGGAAATGCTTACAGTTTGTACTGTTTCCACTGACTTTGATTGCTGAGTCCATTAAATGGCCTGTGAATACACTTCTAGAGCAAAATGAAAAGCCATTAAGCACAAGGGCCTCCCTGAGACCCGCTCAGGGCTGATGACGCAGGCTGGAGCCGATGCTGGGCCTTGCCCATTGGCTGTGGGAGGCGCTGGGAATTGTGATGAGGCTGGGAAGGTGGGTCCCTGACTCACAAAGAGAGCTTTGTCTCCCCTGAACACAGTGTGGCCATTTCCCCTGGGTGAAATTTTCAGTTTGGGAGGGATTTGCACTTTGAAAAGGGGGATTTTATTTCTTCCTCTCCCCAACTCATTTAAGCCTCTTCTGATCTGAAGGGAGATATTTAGTGCAGCATAATAAGGACACTTTCAGAATCACAGCCGCTTTTTCTGAAAGTGCTTCTTATGTAAATGCTGCATCAGAGAAATTTCCCTCTGCTTTACACTATAATTCTGCCATTAAAACCTGCAAAATAGAAGCACACAGAAAGACGCCTCTTTTCTTTGGGCTTCATTTTCCATTTTTACCTCAGGCTCCTACATTTTTTAAAACAATGCTTGTTCTCTGTCAAGCATCTTTCAAAGTCATTCTCTGTTGGAACTAGGAAAGCAGAGGAAAATGATGATTCCTATACATTTAAGAGCCCAAATATGTCAAGAAATACAAACACTTCTCAATGATCCAGTGATCCTCACAACCCTGTGGGGAAGCCGTGGAACAGCGCTGGGAAGACAAGAGATATCCTGAGGGCTCCTTCGAGGCCTCTGCCCCCTCCTCCCCGACTCTGGGCTCTCGAGGCTTCAGGGTGAGGGAAAGATGAAGCTCAGCTCCCTCCGTCTCTCTCAAGGTATTCCTGACCACGCCCACTTCCCCACCCTGCCCCCTGCACCCCAACTCTGCTAGGGTTCGGGGCCCACCCCTGTTCCCCAGGCAGTGAGCAGCTTACTTCTCCACTTCCCCGCGGGGGAACATGCGTCCATGTCCCTGCGTGCCACAAAAGGCATCTTGAACCCTAAAAACGCTGCCAAAGCAGTAGCTGAACAAGTGGGCTTGACTCGGAGCTCAGGCATCTCCTAGCAGCTGTCCTCATCCTAGGAGAGCCTGGTATCCCGTGTCAGGTGGCCAGAACAGTGGCCACAGCTTACCTATTGTGAGGCACAACCGGCCGCCATTTGGATGGGTGGCTGAGGGGGTGCACAGGAGATTCTCAGCTAACCTCTTCGCTCTCCCCTCTTTCCGGACCACCCCCCATAAAGTGGAGCGGAGATGGAAGGACCCACTGGGGCACTTGCCCACTCCACATTCCTGGCTGTCACCAAATCAGTCCCCTCAAGAACGTGTCCTTTCACTTGAGGCTGAGATGCTACTTCAAGGACAACTCAAGGGGGCACAGCGGGAACCCATGCCAGCTAGCACTCGGTGATTATGGGTCCCCGATCATCCTCAGAGAACAGCTCGCAGTGAAGAGAGGACGGGCGGCCCAGGCAGGTGGGGATGGGGTGAGGGGAGGGGGCGAGGAGGAGGCCCAGGGCTGAGACTGGGCGGGAAACGCTGACAGATCAGAGCTGAAATCCCAGCTCCGCCTGTGGAGCGAATTGCAACTGGAGGCCAGTTGCTTGGCTTCTTTGAACTGTAGTTTGATCTGTAAAACGTGGCTCCCAGCAGCCACGTCCATTCTGGGGGTGGAGTGAGGCAGCCCACGCAGAGGCCTCAGTGGCTCGGCGGGCCCAGGGCTGTAGAGCAGACAGGCCCGGCCACTGAGCAGAGGCTGCCCAGTGGCCGTGGCCTCTCCTGGAGGCCCGTCGTGTTGCGGTTGTTGGCGCTTCCCGGTGCCTTCTCCCGGCTCTGCCCTTTGCCAGGGCCAGCTGCCACGAGCTGACACCTAACTTAGGCCTCTTCCCATCCTCAACACCCCTGCAGGGCCAGAGGCAGAGAACAACAGTAAAGGGTCATTCTTGGCAGAGGACCTCCAGCCTAGCCCCAGGAGGAGCCAGGGGGCCTTCCGGGGTGCCGGGTGCCTGGAAAACTGGGGACAGCCAGGGGCGGGCTGGGCTGGGTGCTGGGGGGGGTGGTGGCCTGGGCAGAGTGGACAGGGCTGCAGCCGCGCACCCCTGGAGCGCTCTGGGAGCAGCTGGGGGCTGCGCCCTTCCTGCTTCACGGGCCTCATGCCGCACCCCCAGGGTACAGGTACAGCGAAAATAAGCCCAGGCAGGCCGTTCCCAGGCCTCCCTCCCTCCTCCAGGTTTTGGCTTTCCTGCTCCAGCCTTCCCGCCAAACCACCCCCCAAGCCCTTCCTTCCCCCCCCCCCC